CGCCTCCCCCCAGAGCCATGAAATATTTTACTCAGTTCTTCATGACTCATTCTCCTCCTGAGTTCTGACCTATCCCCTTTAACAGGACCAATCGCATTAAAGTCTTCTCAGTTGAGTTTTTTCTTTTGAGAGCTTATATAGATTTCAGAATTTTTTTGCAAGTTAATCTATTTTCAGATAGAACATGGTACATGTAAAAAAGCCAAACTGGGCACCAACAGTTAATGTGGCGTTGTTGATATTGGCAGCTTGCCTGAGTATTTCCAAATTCTACTTGTTCTTATCTCCATATTTAAACTTTCAACTCTCTCCCTGATTTTTTACACGGTACTGAATCAACTCTTCATTTTAAAACTGTTATCTTGACCTTCCTACCCAAACTGTGCTATAGTTAGCCAAAGAGTATATAAGGGAAAGTTTCTGGAAGTAAGTAAACTAATAAATGAAGAAGGAATGATTGAAATAGAGTATCACAAGTTTGCAACCTTTAATGAATCACTGGATGTAGGCACTGAGCACCCAGGGATGCCTAAACATCACACACAGAAAGTGGCAATTAGGTATTATGTGCTCCCTGATGGAAAACTACTAAAAGTCATCTAAATCTGATCAAGCCTCTAGAACTAGTTACAAATTTACAAAAGCAGAGGTCAGAAGCACATGTGAACCCGTACTCTGGGGAGGCAGAGTACAAATCCAGACTGTGGGAAATTCTATTGTAGAAACAGATAAATTGCAAGAAAAAAAGAAATTAAATAAGATTGGGGGGTATAGAGATGTAAAGAGACTTAAAAGATGCATAAACCCACTGTAATGTGAAAAAATTAGAAATTCATAGTTACTTAACCTCTTTATACATACTACTTAACCTCTTTGAGCCTCAGTTTCCCCCTCTGAATAGTGGGGCTAGTCACAGGACTGTTGTGAGCTACTATTCTGAATTATGTAGCATGGTTTATATCGGATATCCAATAGCTACCTGTAAATGCCACATATAAAGAATGATGAGCTAAAAGAATGCTGAGGTTATAAACTGAGGCTGCCTGCTATGACTTGTGGATTAATCTTAGGATCCCTTTGGTCTGTTCCTCAGGTGTTGAAGGCATTGCTTGGGTTGCAACAATGCACATGGTTGAAACCTGTGTCAAGCAAAAAAAGGCTTTTCAAACTCCTAAACTGCATTTAGTTTCCTCATCTCTATCTCCCAGGGGACTCATTCACCAGTACACTAATAAAAAAATGTTAATTATTTGGAGATTGCTATTCACTGATAAGAATTATAACAAAGACAATCTATTAGCTGATTTTTAATAAAACTATACTCTAGCTACTGGATTTTAAAAGATTTTATTTATTTGTTTTTTAGGGGAAGGAAGGTAGAAGGAGAGGAAGAGAAACACTGATGTGAGAGAGAAACATTGGTTGGTTGCCTCTCACACACCTCCGACAGGGACTGAACCTGCAACCTGGGCATATATGCTGACCAGGAATGGAACCAGTGCATTTTGCTCTATAGAATGACACTCTGAACTGAGCAACACTGGTCAGGGCTAGCTATTTTTTTATTAGCCTGTCATCTTGGTGGGATCAACAAAATTTTTTAGTAGTTTTTTGTTGACGTATATAGTTTCATTATTTTAAATTTATTTTATTTGTTTTTAACCTTCCCCAGAGAATATGTTTATTGGTTTTACAGAGGGGGTATAAAGAGAAAGAGAGGAACACTAATGTAAGACAGAAACATCAGTTGGTTGCCTCCCACATGTGCCCTGACCAGGGATCGAACCCGCAACATTTTGGTACTATGGGATGACACTCCAACCAACTGAGCCACATGGCCAAGGCTATATAGTTTTATCATTGAATATCTTTCTTTATGACAATGGAAAGATCATGCAAGGGAAATCAGTCTAATGTAAAAACAAGTCAGGATGGAAACTATTACATTTTATGTGTTCATGCAAATTTTCTTTGCAAAGTAGCAGCAATTCCTTTTAATTTAATTGTATTTTTTCATTACCATTTGTCCCTTTATACCCCTCTTCACCACAACCACCACACTGTTGTCCATATCTATGAGTCCTTTCTCCTTTTTGCTCAATCCCTCCACCTACTACCCTCCCCCACTTAGCTGTCATCCTGATAATTATGAGTCTGTCTCTATTTTGTTTGTTAGTTCAGTTTGTTCATCAGATTCTACATACATGAAATCATATGGTATTTGTCTTTCTCTGACTGGGTTATTTCACTTAGCATAATGTTCTCCAGGTTCATCCATGCTGTTGCAGGGGATAAAACTTTCTTCTTTTTTATGACCAAGTAGTATTCCACTGTGTAAATGTCCCATAGTTGTTTTATACACTCATCTACTGACAAACACTAGGGCTGGTTCCATATCTTGGTGATTGTCAACAACACAACAATGAACATAGGGTTGCTTATGTTCTTTTGAATTAGTATTTTGGGTTCCTTCAGATATATTCCCAGAAGTGGGATTGTTGGGTCAAAAGGCAGACCTATTTTTAATTTGGGGGGGTATGTCCATCCTGCTTTCCACAGTGGCTGCACCAGTCTGCATTCCCAGCAACAGTGCAAAAGGGTTCTCCTTTCTCCACGTCCTCGTCAGCATTTGTTATTTGTTGATTTATTGATGATGGCCATTCTGACAGGTATGAAATGTGGTTTTAATTTGCATTTCTCTGATGATTAGTGATGTTGAGCATCTTTTCATATGTCTCCTGGCCATCTGTATGTCCTCTTTGGAGAAGTGTCTCTTCAGATCCTTTGTCCATTTTTTAATTGATTTGTTTTTTTTTCATGTTAAGTTTTATAAGTTCTTTATAAATTTTGGATATTAACCCCTTATCAGATGTATTGGCAAATATGCCCTTCCATTCTGTGGGTTTTCTTTTTATTTTTTCATGTTTTCATTTGCAGTGCAAAACATTTTTAGTTTGATAAAGTTACATTTGTTTATCTATTCTTTTGTTCCCCTTGTGTGGGGAGATATATCCAATAAAATATTGCTACCAGCTATGTCCGAGATTTTGCTGCCTGTGTACTTTTCTACAATTTTTATGGTTTCAGGTCTACAGTTTAAGTATTTAATCCATTTTAAATTTATCCTAAGAACCCTGAAATACCAATCCAAAAGAACCTATGCACACCAATGTCCATAGCACCACAATTTACAATAGCCAAGAGTTGGAAGCAACCTAGGTGCCCATCAGTAAATGAGTGGATCAAAAAACTATGGTACATTTACACAATGGAATTCTATGCAGCAGAAAGAAAGAAGGAGCTCCTACCCTTTGCTACAGCATGGATGGAACTGGAAAGCATTAGGCTGAGTGAAATAAGCCAAGTGGTGAAAGACAAATATCATATGCTCTCACCTTTAACAGGAACCTAAACAACAAAATAAACGAGCAAGCAAAATATGACCAAACACACTGAAATACGGAACAGGCTGACAGGGACCAGAGGGGAGAGGGGAGAGAATTTCAGGGGAAAAGGGGAAGGATTCACAGGAACAAGTATAAGGAACACATGGACAAAAACTAAGGCAGGGGGGAAATGGGTGGGGAGGTGGGGAGCACTGGGTGGGTGGTCTGGGATGGGAGTATAAGACAGAAAACTGTACTTGAACAATAATTAAATAAATTTAAAAAATTAATTCTTGCAGGGTCTTCCTGCAAGAATAGAGACAAACATGGAGACACAGGTAGCCAATGCTTCACTTCCTTGCACAACCAAAAGAAGAATAACAACAAATTTTAAAACAAAAACCAACCAGAACTGCCAGAAAATCAAACTGATGTAAGTTTGACAACTGAGGAGTTCATCCAGGCTGGAAGGAGAGGCAGAGATGGAAAGCTGGGGTAGTGAGGATGAGGGACAAGGTGGCAGCTGGCAGACTGGGTGGGCGAGGTGGAAAAAAATCATTCCATAACACTGCTATTTGGAGGAGATAAATAGTTAATATTTGGTGAATATTTGGGTGAATTTCCTTCTAGTCTTTGGATGTCATAATATGGATCATCAGAGATTCTGATGGCAGGGGTCATATTTGTGCATTTATCATTGTATCCCCACGTCTTACCATAAAGCCTGATATTCAAATATTGTGAATGAGCAAAGCGAATGAATGAATGAATGAAACTGGTATGTAAAGTATCCTTAGTTTTGGCCATAGGGACACTTTATAAAAATATGCCAGCATTACATAGGATATCACTTTCTGATTCCCACAGGCATCAAATCAGTAACATCAACACTAGTACTTTTACACCAGACATTTTCCTAGTGTTTTACTCACATTAATTTAATCATAACAACAGTATGTTGTGTGCCATTTTTATCCCCATTTTGTAGATCAGGAAAGTGGAGCACAGAGAGGTTAGGTAACTAATCCAACATCACACAACCAGTATATGGAAGAATTGACTCCTGAGCCCACTGACAGTGAAATTTTATGAGATTTAGTTAACAAATACCTACCTATTATCATCTCAAGTTAACCACCCCTACTAAGCAAAATACATATGTACCTGATGTTTAGCACTCTAACTATAGAAAACTGTATTAGGTGATCATACGACAATTAAAACTTAGACCTGGCACCTTTGTTTATTCACTCTGCTACTTGACAAAACTACAAATATGCCTGTATCACTTCACGCATGGAATATTCCGTTTATGTTGCAGGCTCCTTTGTGCACATACAGATGTAATGTTCCCACTGCCAATAAATGTGTTTACTTTGCTTGCATTCCAGTTTACCACACTGGCCACATAAAGCAAGTACACTTTTTTTTAACTTCACTCAAAGATATGCTTTTCTTTTCATTGATTTGAGAGAGGAAGAAAGGGAGGGAGGGGGAGAGAGAGAGAGAGAGAGAAACATCAGTGCAAGAGAAACACCAATTAGTTGCCTCCTTTTACCACCTGACCGTGCCCCCACTGAGGTTTGAACCTGCAACCTAGGTATGTGCCCTTACCAGGAAATCCAGCCCGAAACCTCCCCGTACACAGGAAGATGCTCCAACAAACTGAGTCAATCAGCTAGGGCTACACATTCTTAATCCTAAAAAAAGAAGAAGAAGAGGAAAGGTCATATATCACTCTCTACCTTTCCCAACATCTGTCATCTTGGGCAATAAAAATTATAAATAAATAAATAAATAAATAAATAAATCTATAGCCCAGAATCTAAGATCCTATACTTTCTGTTCACAAATAAGTGTTAAAATAACCATTGTTGGCATTAGATTCTGGAATAAGATCCTCTGGAGGTAAAGTTGTGTGAGAAATGGAATTTCCTGCTCAGACTGACTCACTCCCGACCTCATTCCTGAAGGAATCAGACTGATTCCTATTTCTAAACCACCTACATCCCGCAAACCTACATGGGCAAGAGCTGTTCTCCCTTTAACGTGTGCTTGAAAGCCATGGAGCCCAACTAACAGCAGCACCAGTGTCCTGGCTATCTACATCCCTGTCCTCCCTACTGCTCCTGCAGGTATAGTAGCCTCCGGGGGTGTTGGGGGCCGGGCAGGGTCAGAGGCAGGTGGCGGGTGGGCTCTTGCCAAAGAGTCTGCTAACGAGTCTTCCCGCGCAGGGGGCGTCCGCTGGGCCTGCAAATCACAGCCCGCCCGGCAGGAGGCGCGCTGCCGCTTGGGAGAAGCCGCGCGCCCAGGAAGGGGCGCGCGGGGCCGCCGGGAGCCACCGCGTGTCCGGCTTCGTCCCTCCCCTTCAGCCCTCCACGTGACGCGGCGGGCGAAGCCCCAGCTAGGGGAGGGGGCGAAGAGCTGCGGGCGCCCGAAACGGCCCCGAGGCTCCGGGCGCCGGAGTGGCGCGAGCCCGAGGGGGCGGGGAGGCGCGGGCGGGCGGCGCGCGCGCCGAACGTGGGCGTGGGTGGCGGTAAGTAGAGCGGGCACGCGGGAGCGCGGGCAGAGGGACGCCAGCTACCCTGGACAGCGCATCGCTACCCGCCGGGGTCACCCTGCCGCCGCCGCCGCCGCGACCATGGTGAGTGGGGCCGCGCGCCGCCACTGACGCCCTTTCTTTCTTTCGCTTCTGGACCGCGGCGCTGGGCGGGAAGGGGCCGGGCGGGCGGCCGTGCGGGAGCTGCGGGTTCGACCGCTGGAACCTGTCGCTGTCGGGGGGCCGGGCCCGCGCAAGCCTGGGGAGGGGGCCGTGAACGTTTGGGCTGGGACGGGGGCACGGGTCGGGCCGAGGCCGGCGGGTGTGGGGCACTTCGTCCGGGTCTTCGGTCCCGTCCCGGCCCCTCGAGGCGCCAGCTCGCGTCCAGCCCCCTGTTGTGTGGCCGCTGCTGGTCACCGCCGGGGATGCCCGACGAACTCGCTCTCCTCCCGCCGCAGCCAGGCCCGCTCGCCGCCCCACATCCTCCTTTTCCTGGCCCTCGCTCCCACCCTCCACCGTCTGGCGTGGGCAACGCCGTTTTCTCTCCTGTAGGATCGACCCAGCGTCGGGAAATTCCGGTGTTTGAGCTCTAAGCTCTTGAATTCGTGTCTCTGTGCTCCATGCCTACCGTCCAGGGGGTGTGTCTGTCCTTGCCTTTGCCTCCCTGGGTTTGCATAGTGGTGTCAGTAGGTAGGTTTTCATTTATGTATCAGGATCGAGGGCCCTCTGTAGTGTTCTTTCAACAACTACTCTCTCAGTTTCTCAAGCCAGTACTGGACTTTGCTGGGGTGGTGGCGAGGGTGGGGGAATGTCTGTTGGTGTCCCATGACCTGCCTGGTTTGGCAGCAGAGCCTGGGTCTGTGGCTAAAAAAGAGAAAGGGTTGTGCCATGCTCAAAGGACCAGTCAGTCCTAGGCGAAATGTGGAGCCCACATTTGTCTAAAGTGGTACATGTTTTATCTTTGCTTCTCTCCTCCCTTTCATGTAGTTTCCTTTCCACTTCAGGGCTGATTAAAGTATGCCGATCACCTGTCCCTTCCCCACTCCAGCTAACACTAATCCGTCCTACATCATGCCCATTCTACCCTTTCTAGTGCACATTATTTATCTGATTATATGTGAAGCCTTTTCTGGCCACTTTACCCAAAATTACAGTCTTGCCCACCCAACGCACCACAGTTCATATTCCCCTTGCCTGTTCCATTTTTTTCTTCTTCAGCATCTAATGTTTAACTTACTATTGATTTTGTTTATCTTGTTTATTGAATGTGTTCCCCACTGGAATGTAAGTTTCAGTAAGGCTAACATTTTTGTCATTTTTATCCACTGCTATATGTCTAGTACCTGCATATAATAGTGCCTGGCACATAGTAAGTGCTCAATATGTTCTTAAAATTAACCCAACAAAGCAGCATACTTTATGCTAATGTACACATGGGAAGCAGCACAGCTACAAGGATTAAATACCCAATTGAAGATTGTAATGATGAGAATCTCAAGTGAACTTTGAAAGGAGGGATATTCTTGGAGGGAAGAGAGTCAGTTTAGTGGTCCTCCATGATAGGAGTATTGGTTGACCATCTGTTATGTCTGGATTTGTCAGCTTTATGCTCTTGACACCTTGGCATATGAGTGGACAAATCCTTTTTAGGGCTTTTCCCTTCCAGGTCTGAATCTTTGTTCCAAATCATTATGAATTGTAATGAGTAAGGTAACAAGGTAATGAGTAAGGTAACTGTAATGAGTAAGGAGCGATCCAAGGATCGCTCCTTAACTGGATGGGCGAGTCATGGGAATTGACCTGAAAGCCAAAATAAAGGGCAGGCTCTTAGAAGTTCTACCCTATACGATTGTGATACTTCTTCTTTAGATAAGCATTTCTCAGTAACTTTGGGTCTTCAGAGAAGCTATTTTTATAAATATAACCGAGTCCAAGTCATCTCACTAAAAAAAGGGCAGGGAGTGGGAAGGGTCTGGGGTAAAATTCATAAATTAGCAGGTCAGTTGAAAGAGACACCCCTTCAGATTCATGTCTAACATGAACAGTTTCAGGATGTCTCTACTAATTAGTCTTCTTCCAAAACAGAATTCTTCTCTTGAAATTCCCTTTTGTTTTTCCATTTCCATAGTGTAAATTGATGGCAACCCTTGTTTTAAGTCCGGAGAAGTGTTTGAGCCAAACTGCTTGATAAAATTTATGTGGACAAGTGTCTGAAAACGACGCACTTACAACCATCACTGTATACATGCAGTAGTTCTATGATTACTGTCTAGTCCAAACAGGTGGTAGAAATTACAGGTAAAAAGGAAAGGAAGATAAGTTTGTACAAACAAACATAAAAGCACCTTATTTTTTTATCCCAATTTATAATTCTAGGATATTTTGCTGTGTTATGATTCCAGTCTATAAATACCAAGCTATTTTTTCCTTTCTATTCCTCAAAAGTGTTGCATTTGTAAGGGTGACAAAGTCCATTTTTAAATTATCCATTTGGGTAAGTTTACTTTTTGGTTCTTCAACAAAAGCTTTCAATTTAATCCGGTTCCCTCCAAAACATTTAAATCACAATTTGGGAGGTTCAGGTTCTTTTATGGTTTAAAATTTAAGTGGATCCATGCCATAGATCTAGTCATATTCAGAAAACAGGGCCCTGCTGTTCTGGGCTATGTCCATCATCTCCTCCACTGTACCATTGCACAGGACAGGGTTGAGTTTTTTTGGAGTACACATGGATAAAGGACAAGAAGTGACCCTGGAAACTCCTAGGCCCAGCATGGTGAAAACATGCCAACATCAGTAGTAGTTCATCATAATTCTAAAGTTACAAATTTACACATTTGTATTTTTTCCTCATTGAATCAGGCACTGGTATATCAGTTACACTGACAATGAACCATTCTAATAAATTGTTAGTTTGAATATAACCATTTAAAAATCCAACAGTTTAACAGTTGCAGGGTATAAATTGTTCTAGAATTGAAGATATGACAATTTAGAACTCGAGATTTAGGATCAGTCATGACTTTGAATCCCAGTGCCAACATTTAACTGTGACCTTGGGCAGATTAACTTCTTTGGGCTTCCGTTTTTTCTTTTGTAAAAGACTAATATTTCCTAAGGTTGTTGGGAGGAACAAATAAGATGATGTACTTAAAATAAGCATCATTCTTAGAGTGCTCAGTAAATATTAACTATTATGTGTTCTTTTTCTCCCACGTCTGTTTTCAGTTGAGACACCTAAGATTTACCTCTAAGTTTGCTTTCCCTTGTGTGATGCCAACACATGTCTATATCAGCAGCGTGCAGTAGAAATGTAAATCAAGCCACATAGTAATTTTTGAGTTTTTAGTTGTCACATTAAAAAGAGACAAGTGAAATTATTTTAATGTATTTCATTTAACTCAATCCGTGCAAATATTATTTCAGCATGCAATCAATGTAAAAATGTTAATGAGATATGATGTTCTTTTTTAATATGAAATCTTCAAAACTGGTGTATATGTGTACTTATAGCACATTCAGTTCAGGCTAGCCACAATTTCAAGTGCTCAATAGCCACATGTGGTGAGAGACTACTGTATTGGACAAAACAGCTCTGGATGATACACCTCTTTCAAATTTACCTCTTATCTGTTAGACCCTTTCCACTTGTGAGAACTTACTGCCACCTTAAACCTAGAATGACAAAAAGAAAGCTCACCTTTCAGATGCTCCTCTCTGTTCCCTTTTGCTGTTGGTAATTCCACCAGCTCTCAGGTCTACTGTGTCTGAAATCTGATTCTCACTCTTTTTTTCTTTAATATTGTTAATTGTATAATATTCTCACATTTTACTAGAAAAAGCGTTTTTAAATCTCTTTTCCTTTCCAACCCCCTTTTTGCTATTCTTATCTTTTCTGCTTTTTTCTTCTTTTGTGGTCTCTGTTTTTAACATTTTTACTTTAAGTTTATTATTTCTTCAAGGCCAGAGTCATGTAGTAACTTAACGCAGAGGCCTCTAGTCCTAATACGTTCAAAGACCCTCCCCCTTCCCTTCTTGAGAAATAGTTCTCTACTGAATCGCTGGGTGACATGTTCTCTTCATCCTTTCATCAGCTCTTTTTCATGTTGTTATAAATGCTATTTTATAGTTTATTTATGTTAAATGTCTTTTCTTTATCAGATAGCCAAAGAAATATAATTACTTTAACTGATAATCTGATATTAAAATAGTTCCCCCCAGGAAGCACAAAGGAAGGAAAAAAACCACAGGAAGAGGAAATGAAATTATTTGATCTTCATCTACCTTTCAAGAAATATCAGAGTACCTGAGGAATAATAATAGCAACACCCACAGCAGTGATGGCACTTTACATTTACTTAGTGCTTCATAGGAAACGAAGCACTCTCTCTGTGCTTAGTAAACAGAGGCACAAAACAAAAGAATGGGACTGGACCTAGAGTCAAGAAACCTCGTTTCTGGTTCTGGCTTTATTATTGTCTAGCTCTGTCCCTGTAAGTCGCTCTGAGACGCTGTTTATTCATCTGCAAAATGGAGTATTTTTCACAAGATTATTTTGTCAAAATCAAATGGGGCTTACCGTTACACTGGCTTTTTCTTCTGGCTGGATTTTTTTTCCCACAGAGACCTGTATGGCAGTCTTCCTAATACTTTCTTAGCTAGACCTACTGTAACCACTCTGTTTAACACAGGAAACTGCACTACCATGTTCACACATACCAAATCTTACACCATTATCCTCCCCCACCCCGTAACAGTTATAACCTAAATACTTACTCATTTACATAGCACTTGGAATCCTCTAATAATTTACTTACGATGTTATAAGGATTTTGCTTGTCCCTTTCTACCCAAATGCCAGCTTCATGAGGACAGAGATTTTTATTTGCGTTGCTCAGTGATGTATCTCTAGGTGTCTTAACCTGCAGCCCACCAGCTGTATGCGGCCCAGGATGGCTATGAATTGTAAATTTTGTAAATTTACCCTTAATTTACAATTTAGAAAATTGTAAATTTACTTAAAACCTTTTTTTGCTCATCAGTTTTTGTTACTGTTTGTGTATTTATTGTGTGGCCCAAGACAACTCTTCTTCTAGTGTGGCCCTGAGACACCAAAAGGTTAGACACCCTGCTGGGCAAATGCCTGACATACAGTAAATGTTAAACAGTTGATTGTAGATAAAGCGAAGGCTGGTTCCCAGTTCAGTGCTCTTTTCTCTTCACATCCCATTTACCATTCATGGAGGAAGAATTGGGAAATTGACATTTGCAGACATATTCACAGTACAAGTCCTTCAAGGAACAAAATCTCTTTGATGCATTTGAAATTATTACAGTTCAGTTTAGGTGTGTTTCAGTAATATAGTTGCTTCATCAATGCACGTATGGCTGTGTAACCTTTTAGTAAACGATACTGTGTATGTATTCATACAACTCTGTTTGCACCTCACAGTCAAATTTGTGGAAGGGGATAAGTTATATCATTATTTCTATATAATGAGATTTATAATTATAGCATTAAGTTGTTACCAAAACAAAAATAAATTTCTGTCTTAGTGATATAAACAAAGCTACAATTTATGAAGTTACTGAATAATTATTTTACATATATCTGTTACATTTTTTGGCTTTTAGTTATCACTTAAATATACTACAAATATAGTAATATCTTTATTTTTCAATTAAGTGTTCTTCAGTGCATTTTTTACATATTATGTGCTTTGACACCTCACAAAAACTTTTTAGAGAGACA